AAGAAGAGTGAAAGGAGTCGAAGAAGAAGAAGATGAGGAGAAGAGAAGAAGACTAGGAGTGGAAGAAGAGAAGACAACGAGTGGAAGAAGAGGAGAAGAAGAAATCAAAGAAGAAGAGCGGACGTCGAAGAAGGACAAAGAGAAGAGTGGAGGAAGAAAACGAAGAAGAAAAAAGAAGAAAAAGAAGAAGAGAAAACCTGGCGAACAAGAAAAGAAGAAAGAAAAAATAAGAGGAAGAAAACAAGATGAAGGAGAAGGGAAGAAAAAAGAGGAGAAGAAGAAGAAGAGGAGGAAGAAGAAGAAGATGAAAAAGGCCCCCGAGGGGGACAGCCCTTGATGGCCGTGGTATAGCGCAGCTGCATTGCACGGAGGGGCGGGCTCATTTCCTCTCGGTGAACTGGGGTTCGACGCACGATGAGTTCTCCCCTGACGCGCATTTTTTCCAAACAGCGCTCTTTCCCCCACCCAATCGCATGCAAAGAAACAGCCAATCCCGCCCGCTGATCTGCAACGATCGGCGGCCAAGATCGGCCGTTTCTTTGCTTTAAAATTCACAGGCCTACCGGACCTGGTTTCGCATTTGAGGGGCAGGGCCTGCCTCCAAAAGGCCTACCCTACACAAGTGGGCTGTCAAAAAAAAAATCCGGCCCACAGCAAAAATGCGTTGAGGGCAACCCTCGACCGAGAGCCAACCGCCCCAGTCCACCGGCCAGTCCAACCAGGAGCTGGCCCCGGTCCAGCCGGGGACCAGCCTTGGTTGACAACAAACACAGACACACCCCACGACAGAGAGAGAGGCAGACAGACAAACAGACAACCGGACAGACAGAGGAGACAGAAAGGAGACAGAAAGGAGAGGGAGAGGGAGAGGGAGGAAGAGGGAGGAAGCAAACGTGAGGGAAATTCACAGTGAGTACATACTGAGACAAGGAGCAGAAGTGCTTGCCTTTGAAGCGAGGCGTTGCAAAGGATCCTTGATCATAGGCATGCCTCTGTCGACCATGCAACCAGACACAGAGGGAGAAAGACCAGTGGCACGATCCAGCACAGTACCAGGAGCCAGGTTCGTCAGCTGGCTGGAGATATCATTAACAGCAGGGGAGACAGCTGCTCCAGGATTCAAAGTATGAGCTCCTGACAGCATCATCTTCCCGCTTGCATTTCCCAGAGAAGTGTCTTCTGATGCTGTTGGTGGCGTTGCAGCAGCAAGAGTGGGCGGGGAATATCCACCCAACCCACTAAGGGATCCACCCTGGATGTACCACATGCCAAAGAGAGGCATTGAACACATCAGAAACAAAACCACCACCCAAGATCAGAGCATATGCACCTTCCGCTCGTCGCGTGCACACTGCACATACCACACTGCAAAGAGAGACGTTGAGCTTGATAGAAACAACATAGCCGTTTCAGACGAACACATGGACCATTGGAAAGAAATGCAGCATTACCCTATCGGGATCTGACCCAGTGCAGCTTGCAGCTTGCAATACTAAGTTGAGGTATAACTGTGTGGTGGAAATAGGGGTAATACAAAACATTCAGAATTTTGCAACTGCACTTAGGAGCATCATGTTGCATCATTTGACATAAGCGTGCATGTGCAGCTTCCAATGAATTCGCATGACGAGTTCTCGAACAACTGGTAAGTCGTTCACCTCTCCCGCAACCATGCAAACAGGTAAAAACAACATAGAATCCGCAACATCCACCATCTGACATGCCGTGGTGGAGCTGCGCATCAAGAACTATGTGAGATAAGTTGCTTGTTACGGTTCAGCTTAGTCAGGGCTTGAACCCTGCACCTCGTGCTGTGTGCTGGACATTGTATTTTGTGACATGCCCACAGTACCTGCATATTTCACATTCCTCTCTCCGACATGTGTTGCAGGTACTCATCAGACACAGGCCTATTCAAGGCATAGCCCCGAGTCCAGCCTATCTTCATCCTCCGAACATAATGCCACGTCATCATCACTGTATCAAACCACGACAGGACGCCTGTATGATGATGGGCAATTGTGTTCTGGTGAAGAATGTAGTCCTTAGACTGCCCCCCCTGTGTATGTACCGGTCACATATGGCATTGTGACGTCGTCTGCTGTACTCTGCTTTGAACCATTGGATGCTAGTTTGGCATGGAGTTGGCCGGTGGTCTACATCTTGGAGCATCCATGCCTCATCACAGTCAACTGCTTAGTTAAAATCTGAGCGCGTGCAGATATGTGGCTGGTCACCCCCTCATCTTCCTGCCCCTCTACACCCAGTACTTGTTTTTCCAACAAGCTTCGGTTGAGGATTTGCTAACTAGTAAGAACTAGCAGTCCCTCTTGGGCTTTGACATTCAAACTAGCAGTACGACCAGGAAAAAGAAAACTTTTAGGCCTCTCGGTAGCAGCGGGAAGCCAAAAGATGAAAAAAAATCTGCCTATTTGCCCTGAGAATTTCTTTCGTCATCTTAGAATCTTTGAAAATACGTGGATACACGGTGGTCGGGACCATCCCTAGACCTTAACAAACAAAGACAGTAGGTGGCTATCATGTATATCTGAAGGCTTTTGGAAAATAAGCCATATCTGGAATGGTGACAAAAAAGGAATGGATCGAAGAGCAACAACTAAGAAAACACCTACCCGCAGTCCACAACCTATTCGAAAACCTGAGATGCTTTATCAACAACATCCCAGAGAGCTAGATTGACCTGCCCAAGGAGGACTTCGCATGGAAATCAGGACAGTGGGGTGTTTTCAAGCAAGAACCAGTACCAAAGAAAGCCTATCAGTTCTCCCATAGACTGGGACCTAACCATCAGCGAGCAGTTTTCACATCTTTCTCCGTTGACCTCTCAAAACCAGGATCCCGAAAAATCAACAACTCAGAACCAAAAGCTGAAATAATGGAAGCCTTTCTCCTTTATAAAACGCGGACCCTGGGACTCTGGCGGAAATCGATCTCTTCCAAATGGGAACCGCTATTCAAGACCTGAAATTTGACCTAATTGAATGCCGGCGGAGGCATCTTCCGAATTCAAAAAAGACAAATACCATCCCCATAACTGAGTACACCGTGAGCATGGACTTCAGAATGCTACTGCAGATCAACAGACCCAAGACCCACAGAGATGGTCACAACTCATCGGGGATGAAGCCAAACAGATTGCCAACATACTCTGGAACAAATACAAGACAATGCAATCAGACCTCTAAAAATCAGGAGCCTCCAATGGCTCACGACATATGCAGCCCTGCCCGTCGACCAATGGCTTCACATAATAAGAAGGACGAACAATCCTAACAGCTCTGACCTCTGATTAGTCTGCCCAGATCATGAACAAGAAGACATGATCCGCTGCCTCATCGGTTGTAAAGAGGCAACCGAGTACTGGGCTAGAGCTTCTGACCTGTGGAGCAGATTATTATCTTCCCTCCTTCCAGAACACTCCATCCAGATATTGCTGTGGACATATCCCCTCTGATTTCAGCAAGCCCAAATGGATATGGTGTGACTTGATTCGGAAGGCGACACTATGGGCAAGCAATCTGGAAAGAAAGGTGATATGGAATCCTCGAGATGAGATTTGGGCAGCAACCAAGAATCTCATCGAGGCAGAAATCCTGTAAAATGGTGAATCTAGCTCCTCGAACCATAACAACAGAGTGCGCTTCAGGCTGACTCAGAGTCAGAAAGGCGACAAAAAGCGAAGTTCCAAGGTACATGGCTGGCGAAAGGCAATGCAGCTATAATATTACAAGGAATGGACATGAAATGGTAAGATGGTAAGACTGGCACAACTCGGACCCATTCACGGCAAAATACAAGGTAGTTGACAGCCCAAGTCCCAGAGTCCCATTGGGACATGATAAATATACAGGCTGCGGCAACCTTCTAGAGACTCCAACTTGAAGCCGAGCTATGGAGACTGCCGAGCTCACTCTCACACGTACAGCTCTATCCGACAAACTTTGGGGAAGGGTCTGAGAGGAGTGAGAACAGAATGACAAGCTGACAGTGAATCCTCCAATGTAGGAGCCATCGATAATGTTCAGGGATCCTTTGGTCAAACGGAAGGAAGCTTGAGTGTGTAATTGTTGTAAAAAGCTAGAGGCTACCAGAGTGGCCCGGGGTCACTTGCCCGGGTGGGCCAAAAATATTTTAAAAAAGAAAAAAGTCTTTTAAAATTTTGTTTTTTATTCTAAATTTGGTGAAGAATTTCAATGTGACCCTGAGGCAAAAGTTGTTCAGTTTATTTTTCTGCATAACATAGTTTTTTTTTGGATTTTCTGGAATTTGCTTTTTAATATTATTTTTTTGCTGGAACCTTCCCTGGTCAAAAAATATGGTAGTGTATCTTCCCATGTTCCAACGGAAGATTCGTTCTTATTTTGCACATTCGGTGAGGAGTTGAGCCAGGCCAAATGGATGGGCCACGGCCCCTGCGCAAGGATGCGGTCCTCACTCCACCACTCACCTCCGGGCCAAGTCAAATCGAGGGACCACTTTGGGCCTCGCTCCGCTACTCACCAAATGCACAGAAGACAAAAAGAATATGGCACTGTATATACCCATGTTCCAGAAGAAGATTCATTTTCATTCTGCACGTTTAGTGAGTACTGGAGCGAGGTCTCAACAGCGAAGATTCATTCTCATTTTGCACATTTGGTAACTAGTTGAGCCAGGCCAAATCAAGGGACAGCAGTCCCTGAGCAAGGATATTGGCCTCGCTCGACTGCTCACGACACGCACAAAAGACAGCAAATATGACACTATCTGCCTGTGTTCTATAGAAGAGGATTCGTTCTCATTTTGCACATTTGGTGAGTAGTGGAGCGAGGGCCTGACACGGGATGACATGCCTAAAAGGAAAAACGGTCCCAAAAGAAACAAAACAACAGCTAATCGAATCTACAGGATCCAAAAAGGACAAAGCCTAAACTTGGGAATCTACAACGAACAAACCAACTGGCAAACGGTGCATGGAGTCAAAAGAGGACAAAAAAAAGAAGAGCAAAGCCCAGAAACCTCCCGCCGCTTCGTACTTGTATTCCAATATGTGGCTCTTGATTCACAAACACGCCACGCAATGCAGGCCCGCACAGTGCCGCAAAGAACATGACGACAAAGCTGAGGGCAAATCCTAGGCCAATGCCAGAAGAAAAAAAGAGAGGTAACAACACGCTCACCGTAGAACAATCGTAATGCGCCTCACCACGAAAATCTCAACGTCCCTTCCAGATAGGCCTGCCAGTTGAGGGCAAATCCTAGGCCAATGCCGGAAGAAAAAAAGAGAGGTAACAACACTCTCACACTAGAAAAATCGTCATCATGCACCTCGCCACAAAAATCTCAACGTCCCTTCCAGATAGGCCCGGCAGTAATGGCTATAACAGTGTGCCAAGGAAATCCCTCAGCGATAGCATCAGTTCCGCTTGGCACCATGCACCATCTGCCTCATGCGCTCCCAATGGCTCTTATCCATTCTCCCAAGGATGATGTAGTCAAATATAGCAGAAAAAAGATGGGCGCTCAAGCCTCAAAGATGAAAATACCTGGATCGCTAACAGAAGAGAATACAGAGAAGATCAAGCATGGGTTGGGGGGGGGGGGACTATATCTCAGTCGAAGTTTGAGTTTTGGATAGGCAAAAAAAAAAAGAAGAACTAAATGCAATTTTGTCACAACGGCAGTTTGGAATGCACAAACTATGTCCCAGTCAAACCCACTGCACACCATTGGTTGCCACTGTAGTTATGACATCCGTGCTTATTCGAAACTGCCACGGCTCTTCTATTGGCTTTCTGAACTTGGCGCGTGAGTGACCTTGCAGGAAGTGATTTTTTTTGCCTATTCGAAACTCATTTTGGTTACAGACATAGTTGGCTCAAAAATAACAAAGGAAAGGAAAAGGAAAATGCATTAAACCCTTAGCAATGCTCCAATGTGGAGGAACACGTCCAGACAATCAAACCTGCTGCGGTACTTGCTCAGGGAAGATAGGGCACTAGAAAGAGAACGGCACGCACGTGGACGAGGGAGTTGAAGATCTCTCGATGTCATTTATTATACAACGCAATCCCATTCCCCCCAGCGGCCCCCCCCCCCCCCAATATGAGGAGGGTAAGGGAAAGAGAGAATTCCCAATGATCTTATAATCCAAATAGCATGGAGTGATGTGGAGAACGGCATGCAGGTAGACAGAAGCATGTGTGAATAAAAGATAAAGGCATACCTTGACCATAGTGTTTGTGATAACACTGGAACCTTCTGTCTGAGGAGGAGATTGCTTCGGAGATGCGTGTGAGAATTGAGGTGAGTCCGCTGGTGGTGGTGAGGAGACGAGCATCGGTGATGGAATCTTCGACACTGTGGACGACTGCAACCTCTTTTTACTGTTGAGAATCATCTCCTGACGAGCCTTCGACTGAGCCAATTGCTGCTGCTGCTGCTGCATTTGCAGCACCTGGTGCGAAGACATCTGCGACACAAGTGGAAGCTGGGCGTGGGATTGTAACAAACGCTGTTGTTCTTGATGCTGCAGCTGTTGTTGTTGCTGTTGCAACTGCTGTTGCAGCTTCTGTTGTTGCAGCTGCTGCGATTGCTGCTGGTGATGCTGTTGGTGCTGCTGCTGCTGCTGCTGCTGCTGCTGCTGCTGCTGTGAAATGCTGGACGATGCCGCACCTCCAGAATGTGACGGCTGTGGATACATTTGTTGCTCTGTGCCATCGCTCACTGACACTGCCTGCAGCTGCTGCTGCTGGAGTTGTTGTTGCTGCTGCTGGAGTTGTTGTTGCTGCTGCTGAGGTTGTTGATGTGGCGGGATCAGAGCTTGCTTCTGCGATGGCTGCAACAATTGTGCTTGTTGCAGTTGGGAAAATTGTTGCTGTTGTACCTGTTGAACCATAGCTTGCTGATTTGAAAGCATAGATGTCGGCTGAATCATCTGCTGAGACGAGAGCACAGACTGTTGCTGCAGCTGCTGCTGCTGCTGCTGCTGCTGCTGCATGGCCGCATGTGTTGTCACAGCTTGCATCCCTGACTGATTTGCCAATCCCTGCTGCACCATCGACTGACCTGCTGATGCTCCACCTGGGCCCAATAAAACCGATTGTGATGGGAGTAATATTTGCTGCACAGTTGACTTTGATGATAAAGCCTGTTGCTGCTGCTGATGCTGATGCTGATGCTGATGCTCAGGCTGCTGCTGCTGCTGCTGCTGCTGCTGCTGTTGCTGCTGCTGCTGTTGCTGCTGCTGTTGCAGCTGCTGCTGTTGCAGCTGCTGCTGTTGCAGTTGCTGCTTCTGTTGTAGCTGCTGCTGCTGTAGCTGCTGATGTTGAAGCTGTTGCTGTTGTAGCTGCTGCTGCTGTTGTAGTTGCAGCTGTTGCATTGACGGCTGTTGTAGGGGCTGCTGTTGCAGTCGTACCTGATGCCGAGTCCTCAGACGATTTATAGTCGCCTCAAGGAGTTTGATCTTTTTTCCCAGTTAAGGTGAAGTTAAGGATCAAGGGGAAAAAGGTGAAAACACAATAATCCTTACACCCACAACAACCTCCATCATCAGTCGCAACACGGTCATAACAGAACTCTCATCATCAACATCACCACCACCATTGCTGCCATCCTTCCGACTCAAACAATCTTCAAACATTACAGCTACGGGGTAGCATTCTTCATTTCTTCTTCTTCTTATCCTCTCCTTCTACCATCATTGGTATCACTACCTCCACCACCATCACCTCCTCATCATCATCGGCACTATCATCATTGTCATCATTGCAATACTCGTCATCATCATCACCACCATCACAATCCTGTCACCATACCAACACCATCACTCTTATGACCGTCATCGTCTTCCAAAGATGAGTAATAGGCATTGCTGCGAGGCTATTCTGCCCTTACACCACACACATTCTCATACTTCCTACAACACTTTTCCTCATCCCTGTTGTTGTGCCCTTAGTCCCTTCTCATACTACCCGCGACATCTCCCCTCCACACACCACGATTCAAATCTGCTCTCCAACCTGCTCCTCATTCTCCTCCTCCTGTCCTTTTCTTTGGTGCTCACTCAATTAGCCTCCATGCCTTCCTCCTTATTCATCACCCTGCAAATGTCACCCTTTCTTTCATTTGTTTCCCTCTCATGGCGAGGCATGTTGTATTACGGCACAATGCTGTACCTGTGGGCCGTTAGCGTGTCCAGATCGATACTACTGGGTTCATAGCGACCTGGTCCGGATCTGCTAAGGTATGCTACTCGTGATCACTGCCCATGTAGCATGCATCGCCATACCCTGGAACAGACGATTGAATCGGATTGATCCTTTTTTTTTCTTTTTTTTTTCCCAACACCACACATTCTTCCAAACCAAACAGAATCGCATACTCAACTGTAATTGCAAATTCAAGGGTCGGGAAGAAGCATATAAATAGGCCGGCTTGAGAAGGTATAGCTCCTTTCAAGTGTCCATGGCTTTCAATACATCTCAATTGCCAACGAAGTTCATGCTGTATTGGTCGGATACATTATTCGCAAACTGCGTAAGCTTCTCATTGGAGTTCAGGCTCTGCGCAATCTTTTCCTTGTTCAGTTGCAAATACAGCATAATTTGATGTAGCCGTGAGCGCTCTAGTTCACACTTCTTCAATTGCTCGCTGGTAATGTTCTGCACAGTCCAAAGACACAAAGCACTCCATCTGGTTAACCTAGATTGACGTAACGCTGATAATAAGTAAGAATGGCGAAGACGAGATGTGGAACTTCGAAAATGCCCTGCAGAAACACCTGGCCAACTGAAAGCAGCACAAATTCCTACATGGCATGCTCTCTCTCTCTCTCCCCCACGTGAGGATGAATCTCCTGTGGCAATACAGGAAGATTCTCTCTCTCTCTCTCTCTCTCTCCCCCACGTGAGGATGAATCTCCTGTGGCAATACAGGAAGATTCTCTCTCTCTCTCTCTCTCTCTCTCTCTCTCTCTCTCTCTCTCCCTCCCCCCCCCCACGTGAGGATTGGGCCACAACATCCATTTTCTTTTTTATCTTTTTTTTAAACCATTTCTCGATTGATGTCTGTCGTCCTTGCACAAGGCCCATGCTAACCTTATCGGCATCGTTCCAATTTTAACGGACGTTCGGAAGGACACAACATGCAAAATTATTATACACGGGCAAGACCAAACATAAGCTGTCGCCACACAAAACAGCAGAGCCCAAAACCAATCAAAGAGCATCCAATACAATCCCCCACCACAAAAGCCTACTCCGCAAGTGATTGCAGCCAACAAGCACGAACATGTATTCTTGAAAGAAAAAAAAATGGGTGAACGCCTTGAGTTATTACCATTGAACTGACTGGACCCCAGGTAATTCAAATTCCTTTATTATACCATCTCGTTGCATCTGCATTCAAATTTAGGTCTGTATTTCAACAGACCCCAAACTTAGGTCTGCATTTCAACAGACCGCGGGGTTGCATCTGCATTCAAACTTAGGTCTGTATTTCAACAGACCGCGGGGGTAACAAATGCGCTAGGCCCATTGGTGCATTTATTCTTGAACTAAAATGGCACCTAAGCCAACTATCCACCACCATTCTGAACAAAACAAAAAAAAAAACATGAATGAAATCCAACCATCCAGCCAGTTCAAGTACAGCAAAAACTGCCCTTGGGATAGAGAAAGCTGAAAACTCAGCTCGAGAGCTTTGGCAATTTACCTGCTGGTGAACCTTTGCCTCAATTGCACTCATCAACTCCTGAAGAAAAGCAAAATGCTGGCCCTTGAGCATTTGCAACTGTAATGAGCCACAAGACATCGGAACGCAATACAAGTGACCAACAATTAGTCAGGTGCCAGAGTCCTGATGGGAGGCGGGAGGCAAAGACCAGGAGGATTGTTGCCTCACTCGACCCTCCTGACGCGACAAGTGTTAGCAGATGTTTGGAAGGATGTCAAAGCATATGGGCAGGCAATAGACCAGGGACAATGCCTTTGCTACTTGATCGCCTAAGGAAAAAGAACGGACCTCACATGGGTCACCCACCCCATGGAGGCAGCAGCTGCAGCAGAAAGAGGACAAGAAAACGAGGAGAGGAGGAGAGGAGGAAGAGAAGGAGACCTAACCTTCTACCATAGTCGTCCTGGCTCATTGAATGATTTCACTAACAGAAGAAGAAGAAGAAGAAGAACAACAACAACAACAAGAACAAGAGGAGGAGGAGGGGGAGGAGGCAGTGGAGGAGAGGAGGAAAAGAAGGAGACCTAACCTTCTACCATAGTCATTCTGGCCCATTGCATGATTTCACTAACAGAAGAAGAAGAGGAAGAAGAAGAGGAGGAGGAGGAGGAGGGGGAGGAGCCCGTGGTGGCTTTCTAGCCTTCTGCCATAGTCGTCCTGACTCATTTAGTGATTGCACCGAGGGAGACAGCAGAAGAAGAAGAGGAGAGCAGGTGGAGGAGGTATAACCTTTTGCCATAGTCTTTCTGGCTCGCTGAATGATTGCACTGATGTCACACTGCTCTGACCTGATCCGTCTTCCGCTCCTGTACAGAGATATCAGAGCCACCAGAGTTTGTCAATCCAGGGAGATGCAACCAAGAAAGTCATTCTTCAAACGACAGGACGACAGAGTCCAACTACAATCTGGAGCAGAGAGTTATGCTTCTTGGCAAAACGCCATATTCATGAAAACTTCAATTCCATCACACCAAACGGACAAACCAAGAGCCTTGCCAACAGATTCAATTCCATCACACCAAACGGACAAACCAAGAGCCTTGCCAACAGAGCACATAAAGACGTATGGAGAAGGTCAGCAGGCATGAGCTGATGATGCATGACCTATGACATCTTCACCTCCACAACAAACCCTGTACAGAGAGGAGAACGAAAGTAGAAGACCTCACACCAACAGCAAAGAACAAAAAAACACTGTGACGCCCAGCAACCATCCGACAGGGCAGTTTGGCATCTCCTACAGTGACCTTGAGAAGAGGAAGAAGCGCAAGAAATTTGTTGTCTTTCTTCTGTTCACACATGTCTCATACTCCCCAACTTTCTGTGATTGCTTTTCTTCACCCCTCACCTGCTTCACATAAAACCCTCCTCTGATAACTGAAGAAAGCCATCAGACATCTCACTTGCCATAACGAGTCCTGTTCACAGAACAGGCTTTTTTTCCAACAAAGGCCCATTATCCACATACACATTCACGTGAGCTACGCTAAGACCACCCAGGCATGCCTTCCTTCTTACCTGATACTAGTCCCGGCCTTCCTTGTTGTTGCTGTTGCAGCTGCTGTTGCTGTTGCAGCTGCTGCTGCTGTGCGTGGCGTTGCTGCAACTGCTGCTGCTGCTGCAGGTTCAACTGCATCTGTAAGTTCTGCGCTGGAAGATTCGGCTGCTGAACTCCATTCGACACCATCCCTGGCTGCACTGCAGTTGATCTTATGCCAGCCTGCTGCTGTTGTTGCATCTGGAGGATTCGTTGCTGCTGCGCCTGGTACATTTGTTGCTGCTGTGATTGCTTCTGCTGAAACAGTTGTGGATTACCCTGCATCTGCAATGCCTGTCCTTTGACCTGTTGCTGAATCTGTTGGGATTGCTGTTGCTGCTGCTGCTGCTGCTGCTGCTGCTGCTGTGCAAGCTGTTGCTGCTGTTGCATCAGTTGCTGTTGTTGTTCTTGAGTCAGTTGCTGCTGCTGCTGGTTCATCTGCTGCTGCTGCTGTTGGGGCTGCTGCTGCTGCGACGACTGAGATTGCTGCTGCTGTAATTGTTGCTGCTGCTGCTGCTGCTCCTGCTGCTGCTGCTGCTGCTGTAGTTGTTGCTGCTGTAGTTGTTGCTGCTGTAGTTGTTGCTGCTGTAGTTGTTGCTGCTGCTGCTGCTGCAACTGTTGTGATTGTTGTTGTTGTTGTTGTGGTTGTGGTTGTGGTTGTTGTTGTTGTTGTTGTTGTTGTTGCAGCTGCTGCTGAAGGCGTTGCTGCTCAAGATGTTTGAGCTTAGCCCGCAGGATCAAGGATGATTGAGAATTCAGCTGTTGCGATTGCCCCGCCTGCATCTGCTGCCCTTGCAGGTGCTGCTGCTGCTGCTGCTGCTGCTGCTGCTGCTGCTGCTGCTGCTGCTGTTGCTGCTGCTGCTGCTGCTGCTGCTGCTGCTGCTGTTGCTGCTGTTGCTGCTGTTGAAGGCCCATTTTCATAGCATTGCTTGCACCAATGGTCCCTGCCACATGCATGTGTCCTGTTGCTGCCATTCCCATTGCCGGAGTCCCAATCCCTACAGGTCTCGCAACACCTGTTAGTCCACCGAGGTTGTTCGCTGTACCTGGAAGAGTGGCCGCTGCGGTCGTCATCCCTCCAGTCATTCCCATCATTCCACCCGCAGTCGCCTGTCCTCCACTGCTTACAATCACTCCTTGTGGCAGATGCTGAAGGAGCCCAATCCCCGGTGGTGCCTGCCTGTGCTGTGTCTGATTTTGGAACTGCGCTGGCAAACCTCTTCCCATCCCTCCCACCATCCCATGTTGCAATCCTCCCGCTTGACCATGCACTTGGCCCTGCGCAATTCCCTGCTGCTGGAATCGCGCTCCATTTAGGGCCTGCTGAAAACTTGCTGCTCCACACATAACATACAGTTTCGTGACAAGAAGCACCCACATTACAAATGAACAAACTCAAAGGACAGAGCGCCACATGCTCCTACCGTCTTCCCCCAAATAGAACGCACCATCATTATCGCTTTATCTAGACTGGAAGCCACAGCTATTATGACCGTCCAATCTAGTTGGGGCAAGACAGAAGTGCACAGACGCACACGCGCTCAGCATGACAGGAACAGGAGGAAGGATGCGATAGGGGGGTTGAGAGATGATGATGGTGGAAAAGACGCATGGGGAAGTGGATGGAAAATCAGAGAGCATGGACTACTGTCCTCACCCGATTAGAAGGCACAGGGCACAGTTATTATCGCTCTATCTAGACTGAAAACTGCCCCATATACAGCTATAATGACCATGCGTTCTACTCGGGAGAGGATGGCAATGTGGCTCACTTGTCAAGCTTTGTTGCTGCTCGAAGTGTTCCAATGTTAATGATTGACCAGACATCTTAACGGTACACACACTTCACAGCTTCCTAACAAAAAGAACAGGAGTTCAAATCCTCCCTGATACAATAATATCAGGGGCCGCATGGCCGAGCAGAGGAGAGAGAAGGAACCAAATGAGAAGCATGCTGGCAAGCGAAAAACACCCCCTCTTGCACTGGGTAATAACATTCATTTTCTCTTTTATTTACTTTTAAGGGTCCTTTGGCACTGAGTTACAAGATACTTTGTGATCCCTTGGGTAGGTAAACAAAACCTTAAACACACACACACACACACACACACAAAAAAAAAAAAAAGCATACAAGTGTAGAACAGAGGAAAGTTGGCAAGAACGTAAAGCAGCAAGAGCAAGGCAACTTTTAATTCCTGAAAAAACTATTTACTGCCAAACACTCGCGATTGCACTCGGCAGCAGGCCAGATAAGCACGAAGCATATATCGTCTTCCCCCAAATAGAACATGGTCATTACCGTTGTACCCAGATTGAAGTTCGCCCCAAATACAGATATAAAAAAGACTGTGCGTTCCGCTCAGGTTCAGCTGAAGACACTAGTCCCCTCATCAATGTTATTGGCGGCCTGCTGTTGCAGGCCATGGCTTTATAATGCAGTTCACACCATCTGACCAAGATAGGGGAGGTATGCCCAACCTACCTAGGCCCTATCATCAAAAACGACCTAGACGACATACATACAATACAGTGAATGTGAATATCAATCGGGAGCCATCGCGAAGTCATGCTTACCAGAATCCATCTGCGAAACACCGGGCATTCCAACCTGGGTGGCCATTCCCTGCTGTTGATTTGAAGCCGATACCGAAGCAGTAGGAGCTGCATTATTCAGAGTCTTCAGTTTCTGAGCAATCCGTCTCAAGTAATCTTGCTGCATATGCCAAACCATACCACAACACAATATGCTATTGTCAGTAATAATCATCCAATCATGATCCTCACCAATGCCACCATGTCATCGAATCATTAACGGAGTTCAGAAAGCAAACACAAGCCGAGAGCAAGATGTGCCCTCCCCTAGCACCTTCCAATGCTCTCAAAACCGAATCCCCCTACGCCTCACCACGCGATGTGTGAAAGCATTCCGAAACATTCCTTGACACCACATACCACCACGTGATGGTCCACTTTTTCAATAAGCAAGGCAAGCAGGGAGAAGGAAGGAAAAGAGAAGCAGATGCAGCACAGTAGAGAGAAAAACTTTTAGAAGTAAATGCCCCTACCATATCTACGGCCTTCGCAAAAGTGAGTTCCTCGAACCTCGCAGCAGCATTCTGCCTGTCTGTCAGCGAACTTGAGTGATCCTTCAATGACGCCATTCTGTCCACCACAGCACAAAAAAGAGCACAAAAAGAATGTCAGATAAATGTGAACCGACTGTTCATTTGACAGCAGCAGAGATGTAATTGCGTAGGACCCAGTTGTTCTCTCTCTCTCTCTCTCTCTCTCTCTCTCTCACACACACACACACACACTTGCTCGCGTTTTTCGGACAGGTGTAGCCCCTAACATCATGCATCTATCTGACTTAGTCAGGACTTGAACTCCTGGTTGGTTCACGAACAGTAAGATGACCTTTCAGCCACATGGCTGTATGATTCACATCATACAATATTGAAGAACCATACTCAATGCAGCACAACATATCTCCTCTCAATACAGCACAACATATCTCCTCTTGTCCTATGAATCTCTACGTTCATGGATATTTATTTGAAGATCATTCTAAATGCTGCACACAACATATCTCCTCTTGTCCTTTGAATCTCTCCGTTCGTAGATATTTACGCTATACTCTTGCCTACCCAAGGTACCTGAAAAGATGCAACTTTTCACTTCCAAGATGTAATCCAATGGGCTTCAATCAACGATCTGACCATTATACCCACCATATCCTCGAGAATCTAATCCTATGGAAGTCGCTCACGGATATAACCATACGACTCCAACAATCTTATCCTACGGAAATTCAATCAGTGTGCCATCATTGCCCCCATCACCTTTGCGCTGTCCCTGTGGATGCTCATCCCGTGCTTGGGGTATAAGATGATAAGACTCTCTCTCACTGGGCAAACTTTTATCATGGATATCAATAAAAGATCTGACCTTGAACTTAAATCCTTTCCGCATTTGACAAAACCAATCAACTTGCTTCAAAGAAGAATGACAAACATTCACGACACCCATTACCAAGGGGGAGATCTGTTACATCAAGGTATCAAGCTCGATAAACTGACTGATTCTACTGAACAAATCAAGCCATCACACCAGCTATCAAGTATGATATATCTGTTTATCAATCAAGCTATCAATCCCCATCATCATTCATCAACCAATCGACTTCAATCATCCTTAACAATGTTACTGATCGATTGACTTCTTCATTTTTTTCATTCATTCATGAGATGATTGATTGACTCATTGATTAATTAATCAATTAGCTCATTGATTAATTAATTGATTGACTCGTTGATTGATTGATTGATTGATTGATTGACTGATTGATTGATGGTTTTGGCTGGCTGGTCGATTTGATTTGGCTCTGATCGATTGTTCACCATGCATCAGTCAATCAACGTCAATCATCCTTCATAATGTTTCTGATCGATTCCCTTCTTGCTTCATCGACTGATTTCCTGACTCACTGATCGATTCGTTCATTGCTTGATTGCTTGATTGATTGACTGATTAGTTGATTGGTTAGTTGATTGGTTGGTTGGTTGATTGGTTGATTGGTTGGTTGGTCGATTGGTTGATTGGTCGATTGATTGATCCCTTACAAAATTGATCCGATAGTCTGATAAGATTCCCTCATGATTCGATTCACCAATTGATTGCGTGACAACAGGAGAGTTCTACAAACCTCAGAAAAAAGAAGACCATGAATGATTGGTTCGTTTTTGTTTCAGACATGCGATCTATCATCCACACCACCGTTCTCACCCATTTCCAGTCTGTAAATAAGACCAGATACAGTTGTCGATAATGCGTTGAACCAATCAAATGAAGAGGAGAGGGAAGGGAGGAAGGAAAGAAAGAAAACAGACTTACCTAGCTTTTCGTAGTCCTCAATTTTATTCTTATTTTTGGGTGGATCGTGTATCACATTCGGCGAAATGGCAAAGTACACACCGTCAGCGCCCATTTCAACCAAGGGCCTCACTCCACTACTCAACATTCTACATGTATCTGGACAGCGACCAGACCACTTACAGTTCGACCAATCCGACATTACGAATGTACAGTGGCCACTACCCGGTCCAGATACATTTGGAATGTCTGGAGCGAGGGCCCAATGGGATATCAAAAAGAGGAGGACAAGAGGCGCTGGGAGAAGGCGGATGCTGTAGCAGGGCCTTCTTTCTCGCTTAAATCCAGCTGAGGGATTTCCAACACTGGGGACAACACCCCTGCTGCCACGATTGCTACCATTCTGTCTTTCTCCGAATGCAACACCCAGTCACTTTAGCTGCATTTAGAGCAACTTTCAGTCCACATACGGATATTATGGCCATCTGTATGTTAGTGCAAGTTGCAGTCCAGATACGGATATAATTATCATCCGTCGTGCTCAGGGGAAGAACCTAAAAGGTAAGGAGGCGAGCTTCAGTCCTTCCGTCACATAGACAGCTCGGGGGTGTGCGATGCCATACGCAGTGCGCTGCATTTAGTTTAACTTTCAGTCCAGATAAGCATATAATTATCATCCACCGTGTTCACAGGACGAACCCAAAAGGGTAAGGAGGCAAGCTTCGCTCCTCCAGTTACATTGACAGAACCCACACGCTACGACATATGCAGTAAGACCCTTTGTCCGCTTTGTCCGTGCACGCACCTGTGACGACCTGCACGCCCGCAGTGCACTGCATTTAGTGCAACTTTCAGTCCAGATACGGATATAATTATCATCCACCGTGTTCACAGGACGGACCCAAAAGGGTAAGGAGGCAAGCTTCACTCCTCCAGTCACATTGACAGAACCCACGCGCTACGACATACGCAGTAAGACCCTTCGTCCGCTTTGTCCGTGCATGCACCTGTGACGATCCGCACGCCTCTCCATCATCGGACGCCCCACTCGGGTGTCACACGTTGAGAGCGTGCGTCGCCCCGCAAGCAATGGCACAGCCACACACAAAATCATTCAGACGAATTGACTGCTGAAAGCATAAAGCAGCAGTCCTTCGGGGGACATTTGTTAAAATTGGAACAGTACAGGCAACATTAGATTGCATGGCCCTCCTGGTATTAACCCCTCTTCAACCCCCAAAAAAAACTTCTCAAAAAGGAAACAGGGGGGAGTGGGGGGCATCCGGTAAAAAAGCGCACGCAAAACAAATCGTCAGGCACTGGAGGTCCTCCTCGGACCCGTCCATTCCCAGTATGGGAAGAGAGAAAAAAGGAGCTAGTCTGCGGTTTTCAATTTGCAAGGACTCGTTCCACTCGCAGACGTGCCCTAATGAAACGTGCGCATTTCCAAAAATGCCCTCTCAAGTAGCACCTGTCCTCTCCACTTGAGCATATGGTTAAATGTGTGAGCTCACTGCGCAATTCTCCCCTGAACCTCTCTCTCTCTCTCTCACACACACACACACACACACACACACACACACACACACACACAAGCTATTCATCAAGTGACTATGCTAATTTTCAAGAAAGCTGTCATGTCGTAAAGTTTTCCTTTTCATTGTAAAAATACAGAGTAATGTCCTTTAGTCAATGCTCGAGCATTAAGCTCGTTCTCAACCCATGTTCTCAAGTCCTTAATCTGATGTTCAAGCGTGTCTTGGATTCCAATTTCCTTCCTTCCTTCCTTCCTTCCTTCCTTCCTTCCTTTGAAATATGCCCTCTCTCTTCCTTCCTTCCTTTGAAATATGCCCTCTCTCAAGCCGCGCTTAATGCCTCAGATTTTAACTCCATTCATTCATTCATTCATTCATTCATTCATTCATTCATTAGCTCGTTCGTTAGTTAGTTCATTCGTTCGTTCGTTCGTTCGTTCTGAAGTGAGCCTTCTCTCTCAGCCGATACTGGGACGTGAGGGCTCAACCGATCCTGGAGCGTGCCTCAGATTCAACCTTCACTTATCCATTCATTCATCCATTCACTCTCTCATTCATTCATTCATTCATTCATGCATTCATTTGTTCATTCATGCATTCATTCGTTCATTCATGCATTCATTCGTTCATTCATGCATTCATTCGTTCATTCATTCATTAGTTCCTTCTCCAGTATACCTCTCTCTCTCTCAACCGATCCTCAACCCACATTAGAATTTTTTATTTTTTATTTTTTTTAAAACAGGTCCTTATGGCCCTGGCTCCATTTCCATTCTGGGGAGCATCAGTCCGGTTCCTTTTCCACCGGCAAGCCAGGAAAAATAATTACATCATAGAACACCCTCACGCTTCCTTCCGTCTGGCCGAAGGAACCCTGATCAGCATTGATTACTCCAACGTCGTGGAGGATTGACTGTCAGCTTGCTTCGTTCATTGATTCAATCAATCATTCATTCCCCCGCAGTATCCTCTCTCTCACACAAAATGTCGTTATCAGAGTGTACCGAGCTCCATCATGCTCGCACATTTTCTCCACTACACTTCTCAACAATTATCTCGTTATGCATAATAAGCACTCTTCCCCCCCCACATGAGAGCTCGATCTCACCCACACGCATAACATTTACCCCTTTTGAACCACACGTTCAAAAACCGTCACCTATTCGAAGAGCCCGACGCTGCAAATCTCGTCCATACCTTCAATCTCCCTCACTCTTCGCCATCTTGTCCTCCAAAAGCCCAACGCTCAATTTCGACCGTACCCCTCGTCGTTTTGCAATCAATCTTCCCCAAGAGCCCAAGCTCAAATCTCGAAATCTTCCCCATTTACGCCCTTTGAACCACACGTTCAAAACTCAATCTCCCTCAATCTTTGCCATCTTGTCGTCCAACAGCCCAACGCTCAATCTCAACCGTACCCCTCGTCGTTTTGCAATCAATCTTCCCGAAGAGCCCAAGCCCAAATCTCGCAATCCATACACTCACAACTCACAGTGCTCGACAGAAATTCCCAAAAAAACCGTCCAGCACTCGAGCGTACGTCCTCAAACACGTTTTCTCACCTAGACACGTTCATTCTCATAAAAAAGTACATAGAATAAAAAAAAAAACAAAAAAAAAAACAAGATGCTCCTCGAAACGAACTTCATCCTCTCGTTTACAACACAGTCCCCAGCTGCCTTTGCTTATCAAGTTTTGTTTATCATTTATTATATTATATACTACTCATGTTCGTATTTACGGATATGCCCTTCA